TCTACTAAATATTGATGTAATTTTTCTGTTGGGGTGCCCAAATTTATGCACCTGCCTACTTTTGTTTAAGTAATTATTGCACACTTTCTGTAAATCCTATAAACTTCATTTCACTTCTTAAATATCACTGTTTGTTTGCTATATGATATATTTAATTGAAATTGCTGTTCCGAACAACCAATGATCCATAAAGGAAAATCTTGAAAATGATCAGGGGTGCTGAAACTTTTTCATACCACTGTATATAAAAAAATACATCACTTTACTCCATTTTTGGAGAATGTGTTGCATCCAAGTTCTACTACTGATAATATTCAATTTTTGCAAAACTATTGCATGTTTTTGGGAAACTTATTTTGTTTTACTGACAAAAAATGAATGAGATAGAAGCCTATAATATTTGGTTTCAGATGGCTGGAGATAAACTATAATAAAATAAATCATTAATCATGCCTTAATTAATTATTCTTCTATTCAGAAAAACGTGAACATTTTAGTGGTGCCAGCTTAAAAAGAGTTTGATTTAAGGCCACTGCTTCCTTAGCTTCTGAACAAGATTCTATAATTTACCAGTGGTGTATTTTGTATATATTTAATAATTACAATATTTGTTCTGATCAATTGCAAACTGTGGTTCTGTAACCTTTAGTAGTGTATGAATAGTATTTAACCTATAGTTTGTTTTTTGTTTTTTTGTGAATTACACCACTGCACACACAACAAAATGTGACCTCTGTTTTTAACCCATCACCAAAGTGAACAGTGGGCCCGGGGAGCAGTGTGTGGGATGGTGCCATGGTGCCATGCTCAGAACACCTCAGTGGTGGACTCAAACCAGGCGCCTTCCAAACCCAAGTCCGTTTCCTTAACCACTTAGCCACCGATGCCCCACTGTTATTTTTTTTTAAAGATACGTCAAATGAGAGGTTTGTTTTTCATTCATTTTGTTCATGAAATAAATCTAACGGTTGAATTGACTAGTTTTTCTGCACATTTTTTCTGGCTAACTACCTGTAGGTCCAGTGGCGGTTAACCGCAGCTCTGGGCCATAGAATGAGACGAGAGCGGAGCTGTGTAATAATAGACAGGCAGAAAAGCAGCCTGCCTTAGTGAGAACAGTTAAGGGAACTGTTAGCTAGAGCAACAGCCAACCTGCTAAATTATAAATAGCCGAGCCTCCCCAGATGCTATAAATACAAACCCCAGTAACACCGAAACTGGCAGTTTAGACTCGGGAGGTATGGTGGTCAAGGGAATGACAGAATGAAGCACAAACAGTTTTTATAAAAACAACCTACATGTTTCAAACACGTCTCCTTTACTTTCTCTACTGTGGTGTCTTCCGTCACCTCCTCCAACCACTCCGTGCCGTCCATGGTGCAGATGTGTATTTTCAGCACCTTGCCGGCGAATATCTTCTCCTCCTGGACGAACATAGCTGCAGTGCTGTGTGTAAACAGTAGCGGTTAAGTGACGAAAGTAGCAGTAGCAGTAGCAGTAGTCTCTGATTGCTCAGCGAGAGCTAGCGTGCTAGCATTAGCCGCCAGATAACCGTCCTCCTGCAAATCAAACGACACCAACGCGACAGCCGGTGTCGGTTAACCGTGGGACATGTTCGGGTTCGTCTGCCACTCCTACACGCTCTCTGACACTCGGTTCCGTTCAATGTCCGCCGACTTGTTTATCTTTGCCTATTAGTACAGAAGCTGTCAGCCAGTGAGAGCCCTATTTCCACTGTAATGTTTGAACTTTGAACTTCAACTTGTTACCACCGGTGCATCATGGGAGTTATAGTTCTTCGTAGATGAAAATATGGCGACACGGATACCAATTGATTGTCTGTTATTATTTACCCCAAAACAGCTATTTCTCTTTTATTCCATCATTTAAAGTATTTATTTCGGCGTTTAACTCTCTGGGTTTTTTCTACTTTTTTGCTAACTTGTTCGAATATGTGCCACTTAAATAATCTCACACTTAGAAACACGCAAAAGGTAACGACAAATGTGTAATTTTTACCCACGTTTCACTAACAAGTCTTCATTGGGCCACTGTGGGCTACCCTACAGTATAAAACGATGCTCGGACACGACACCCCCTATAGGCCATAAGGTGAACCCGATTATCGTTTCATCTTGCTCCGACGTCTGGAAACTACACGATCTCAACTTCATAAAAAATAACGAGTTACGTTAAACTTACAGCAAAAGGTTCGTCGCAAAATACCCTGCCCGTTTTTTATATCGATGCATTTTATAAAGAACTAGCGTCTTTAGGGCGCAATAAGATTTTGGTGCGCGAGCGGTGGCACGGTTCGAGACGTGATCGTGCAAGACCAATCAAGTAGCTGATTGATGTCAACACACCGGCAACACGGCTTCCTCTATGGTTTTACTTAACGTTACCGATAGTGAGGAATTCTCCCAAAAGTCTTCTAAAGTGGGCCATATGGATTCTAAACAGTGTTTTATACATAGCCGCCTGCATGAAGAACAATGAGGAAAATAGACGATAACTTTCTCTGTTAAGTCATTTTGATCAATAAAAGGAAGTAATCAATGACAAGGACCATTTGTTTATTTATTCGTTCATTTATTCGCTCCTAACTAAATACAACACTAATCAATCATAAAAAAATCTTTAAAACATATATACAAATGTACAATATATAAAACAATAAAAAACAGCATAAGAAAATGATTGATAACATTAACAATGCAACCACTGCAATACAACTCTGAGGCTACACGTGAAATGTTAGTCTTCAGTGTCAGGGCAGTTGTTATCCTCCTAGATTTCATGTTTGTTTGCACAGTGGCAACACCTATACAGGTCTGTACAACAGAGTCGTACAATCAGGCGTACAGTTTGTGCATGCTGTTGAAGACCTGCAGTGTGATCATGAAGAATGTGAAAAGGGCGTTTTTGCATGCTGCAAAAGAGCATGCAACTGTCATCATTAAGAGTTCTGACACTGATGTGGGAATCATTGCTGTAAGTATGCAGACAAATTTACCATGCAGCTTATATTTTTTCACAGGGACGGGCAACAGGACACGCATCATTGACATTACCAAGGTGTCGTCAGCTTTTGGAACCAGTGTGTGTTCAAGCCTTGATTGGCATACATACATTCTCTGGGTGTGACTCCACAAGTGCCTTTTATGGTAAATGCAAAAGAAAGACATTTTCTGTGGCATGTGAGCGGGAAGAGTACCTTAAGGGTTTTAAAAATCTGGGTGCTAACTTTAACTTGGACCACTCAACATTTGCACTACTTTGCAAATATGTATGCCACCTTTATGATCAACCGGCTGCTGAAAATGTCAATGAGGCAAGGTACAAGACTTTCTGTATGGCATCAGCCTTGCCAGAATTGTCTATTCCCCCTACTAGTGATGCCCTCCATCAGCACTGCAAAAGGGCAAATTATCAGGCTGCAGTCACGAGGTCCTGCATCAAACAAAATATTGGTGCTCCATCACCTGCTGGATATGGTTGGTACCTATATGATGGAAATCTACATGTCACATGGATGACAAGAAATCCGGCCCCTGACAGTGTGTCTTGTGTCTCTGCAGGACTCTGTTGTACAGACCTGTGTAGGTGTTGCCACTGTGCAAACAAACATGAAATCGAGGAGGAGGAGGAGGAGGATAACAATGGCCCTGACACTGACAGTGAAGACTAACATTTCATGTGTAGCCTCAGAGTTGTATTGCAGTGGTTGCATGGTTAATATTACCAGTCATTTTCTTATGCTGTTTTGTATTGTTTTATATATTGTACATATTGTATGTATATATGTTTTAATAAAGTTTTTTTTATGATTGATCAGTGTTGTAGAAAGTTCACCTTGTCATCTATTTTCCTCATTGTTCTTCGTGCAGGCGGCTATGTATAAAGCACTGTTTAGAATCCATTTGGCCCACTTCAGAAGACTTTTGGGAGAATTCCTCTCTATCGGTAACGTTAAGTAAAACCATGGAGACAGCCGTGTTGCCTGAAGTGTTGACATCAATCAGCTACTCGATTGGTCTTGCACGATCACGTGTCGAACTGTGCCATCGCTCGCGCATCAAAATCTTATTGCACCCTGAAGACGCTAGTTCTTTATAAAATGCATCGATATAAAAACGGGCAGGATATTTTGCGACTAACTTTTTGCTGTAAGTTTAACGTAACTCGTCCTTTTTTGTGAAGTTGATATCGTGTAGTTCCCAGACATCGGAGCGGAATTCAATTTCTAAAGGACTTTTCGTGGTTCACCTTACGGCCTACTATGGATCGGATGGCGTGATACAGTAATACAATTGCTAGCACTTTGACCTCTAGATGGAGACAAAATATAATGTTAAACAAAATGTTTTGCTATTGTATATTAAAAATGTTACATTTCTATTCTAGCTACATCTATTTAAAATAAGGACTTCAATATTTAATGCTGAAGTAAACACAACATATATATCTGTTTGTTATTTTAATTAACAAATTGGTTCCATAACCTAAACTGATGATGTCAAGAATAGCAGGCGGAGCTCTAAAGTTCAAGACATGACCGTGTCCTTTATTATAACAAAGAACATCTTTACAGATAGAAAATGAAAAGGTAAAAATACATCATTTGAAAATCACATTTTTTTTTCAGAGGAAGAAAACACATTGCACATTCACTACAACCCTATTTTTTTTCTTCATTATAACATCTGCAAAAGAAAACCATGGAGCTTATCATAAAGAATTGACGTGGACACAGCTGAGAACTGCCAGTTTTTTTTCACTTGCTCAAATTCTAAAAAAAAAGAAAAAAAAATTACACCAAAAACATACACAGATGATGCCCCAGTAGATATTTTTGTAACAGAACAGCAAATTATATCAGAACGTAATCTTCCGAAAAATGTCTTCTAACAATATATTGTATCCATTCTTACATAGCCTATTTTTTGTATGCATAAGAGAGTAGAAAATATATATTTATATACATTTACGTGTATATTCTGTTCTGTTCAATATGTCAAAGGCGCTCTATCTGTGCCATCAATGCCTAAGACATATTTCTTACAAAATCTTGCTTACGAGGGAACGTATTTACAAAATGGATGAACACAGCCATAGGCTTAAACTAATAGGAGGGACCGGGGAAAAAATTACAGTTTCCTTTTCCCTCTGCACAAAAACAAACACTGCGGCCAGTGGGCTGGGGTTTCCGACAGTGAAAGACTGCCAAGTCTTCTTCTCTTACACTGTACATCATATATCACATCACTGACATATCATATCTCTACATATGTGTGAAGGGGATCGGATCTAGATGCTGTGTAAATATACACAAGTCTAGAGTGAACGTAAAAACTTTTTTTTAAAACAACAGGAAGGGGTGGGTGAAATATCGGCATTCGTCAGCGCTGTCTAGAATATTTGCCAAACTTACACCACCGTTTAAAATAACACTGAGACATAAAATGTGCTCCACGAAATGCCCCTCGAACTCGATTTTTCTCTATAAACATGATTATACGAACAAAACCATAAAATGATACGATTGAAAAATCATATGTAAAAAATAAAGATGAAAGAAAATAAATACCCAGTGTTTTTGCTGTGACTTCACTGACAATAAGAAAAAAATTCTCTAAAAGTCTGCGTCCTGCTACAACCCAACATTCTTCATCGAGCAGGAAGTGCATATAAATAAAACATTAATAAAAAAAAGAAAAAAAAGAATGGATTACAACAGGTGTTACTGTTAGTATGAAAACAAACATTATATAAAATATTGTTTTAAAACTTCCCCACAAAGAGTGCCTTTTTTTTTTATTGTGATGTCAAAAATAGGGAGCAGCTTCTCTGGGCGTCTTTTTATTTGAACTGTTCAGGTATATGTCCGATCTGAGACTGCATGCTCGTGGGGGGGCTGGAAATGCCCTCTGACCAGTCTGAGAGATTGGAATGAGGAGACGAACTGGACCACTGGTCGGGAGAGCCTGGCGACGGGGTCAGAAAAGGATGGTCAGGCACCTGGACTTGATGGTTGGGGGTGTTGTCCGTGGGGCCTGAGTAGCTGTGCTGCGAGGGAGGGGTGAGGAACTGCGTGCTCGCGATGGACTGGTTTATGGAGGTGGGCATGATCTGTGTTTCCTTTGGTAAAATGGCGAGGCGGGAGCTGCCGCCGCCGCCCTGCTGGAGATCAGGAGATGTCAGCTCGCCACTGATGAAATTCTGGTTGTTGGAGTTGTTTGAGGACTGATGCTGTAGCTGGAGGTTCTGCTGTTGTTGTTGGATCTGCTGGAGGTTCTGTATCTGCTGAATCTGCTGCTGCTGCATGATGTGGGACTGTGGACCCATCCTGGTGCTCTGGATGCCCTGGTAGGTCATCATCTGCGACAGACTAGAGGTGGGAATGCCATTGTAGAGGGAGGTCATCATGCCATGCTGAGCCCCCTGGTGGAGGCCCACCTGAATGCCAGGACCTCCTCTCAGGGGATTGAACTGCCCCGGTTGGCTGTTGCCGTGCATCCTGGAGAGCCAGTCGCACTGACCGTTCATGTCGCCCTGGTCGCTGGAGCCCGACACGGGAGGTTGAGTGAGACGGGGTGGTAGCGGGTCGAACTGCATCCGTGCCAGTTCCTGCTTCTTGGGCATAACCATGTGGTTTACAGGAAGATGTGGGTCGGACATTCCCTGCAGATGGTTCAAGGATACGGAGGGCGACTGCTGGAAAGGTGAGCTCACATCGGAGACGTATCCGTGCGGAGACTCCAAAGAGTCGATGGGCGACAGGACAGCTGAACTGTCCAGGAGGTTCCCGGTCTTCCTGTCCTGGGAATTCTTCTTGATCTTCATGTCTTTACCATCCTTACAGCCGATGCCCTTGGCGCTAGGTTTCCGGGCCTTCTTGCTCTGGTTTTGCCCCTGTGGCTGCTTCATGTTGCTCAGGTAACCGTTGGGCGAACAGAGAGGGGGTGACAATGTGACGCTAAATGACCCCCCGTGCATGGGAGGACTTCGTACCAGGTTGTACTCGTCCATCAGTCGCACAATGTCGTGGTGCATTCTCTCCTGAGCGATGTCTCTGGGCAGTCGGTCAATGTGGTCCGTGATTTCCCTGTTGGCAAAGTGGTCCAGTAGAACCTTGGTGGTCTCATAGCTTCCTTCTCTGGCTGCTAAGAACAGAGGCGTTTCCTCCTGTGGCAGGGAGACAGGAGACAACAAGGTTGAGAGATTGTCGTCTGATAACTGGGCAGATCAGACGGGGGTAAACTACGGCCCATGGGCCAGATTTGGCCCACTAGGCTTTCTAATCCTGCCCTCCAAACCCTAGTACAAGGTCTGGCACAGACTGATGCATGAACCAGAAGGATTGACAACAAATCGACTGTCAGTTCACTAGATGGCGGCAGACATCAAATGAGCCATATTATCTTTGAAAGCTGAGGGTGTATTCTTGTACAATTTATTTAAATTATTTCACCCAGCATTCAACATCCAACCAATAATAAAGCGGCCTGCCAGTCAATTTTTGAACCTCATTTTGGACTGTGAGCCAAAACGTTAGCCCAACCCTGAGATAGACAATGTCAAAATGCATTGAAAATTTGATCAAAATCAATAAAAAAAATAAACATTATTTATGTGTTCTGTTAACAGCTCTAATTTTTTATTTACATTTTATTTTTATTTACATTGTTTTTCTATTTTATTTTCTACACTGTTTATATTTTGACTATTTTCTGTTGATTACATTCCACATTTTTTAGCTTGTTAAACATTTCTTACTGGAGTGTTAATATTTACAGTGCTTTTCTGCCCCGTTTATATTCAGTATTATGGTATTTTTTAATACATATTACATGTAGCTGCAGCCTACATGTATTATCATTGGGACACGTGTGTATTGTTATGAATACCTTGTTGTTCTGCATGTCCTTGTTGGCACCGTTCTTCAGCAGCACAATGGCAGCATCCACATTATTCACAGCTGCTGTCCAGTGTAATGCTGATTTACCTAAAAAAAATAAAAATAAAATCCAGCGTCAGTCCATCTGAACTTCAGCCTCATTGAAGTTCTATTAATAAATCAGAGTGACTTTACCAAAATCATCGACAGCATTGACATCAGCTTGGCAGTTGATGAGCTCTTCAACCATGCCCTCCACTGCCAGCCTGGCAGCCAAGATCAGGGGCGTGGTCCCATCGTGCATATGGGCGTCCAGGTCTGTGGCACGGTTTCTGATCAGAATCTATAGAAATATATGAAAAATATTTTTGTTAATTGTGTGCTTTTTGAAATTAAACCATAAAAAATAATCACTCAAAATTGTTTAAAAAATACATTAAGAAATAAGAAAATGATTTAAAAGAAATGACTGGCTTAAATTTAATCACAAAAAATGTGATTCATGTTTGCAGTTTTAGATAAAAAAATAATGTTTTTCTTCTGAGCAGATGAAGAACATGGTTCTGATAAAGTTTCTTCAAGCATAATTATGTTTCTTAATTTTTATTACTGGTTATCAACCAGCTAAAAAGTAAAAGAAATTACTGTTGAATGTTGGCAATAATTCTTATTTAATTTGGTATTGTTGATATTATATTCAATATACATATATACATATATAATATATGTAAGCAAGTATATATATTTATATGTATATATATATTTATATTTACATATATAAACATACATACATATATATTTATACATATATAATACACATATATATATATTATACACACAACCACATATATATGATATTATATGTGATTCATATTATATTTCAAGTTTTTAAAGTAATCTTTTCAGCCCTACTGTAAACTAAAGCTCCATCTCTGCCTCCATCTTGTTGATTTTATTTTAATAACAGCCTAAACACATCCAGCTCAGTGACACTTACCTGAAACACTCCCTGTGCGTCAGCAGCCACAGCGGCGTGCAACGGCGTCCGGCCCATGTTGTCCTGGAGGCGAGGCGGGAGCTGCCGCCGCCGCCCTGCTGGAGATCAGGAGATGTCAGCTCGCCACTGATGAAATTCTGGTTGTTGGAGTTGTTTGAGGACTGATGCTGTAGCTGGAGGTTCTGCTGTTGTTGTTGGATCTGCTGGAGGTTCTGTATCTGCTGAATCTGCTGCTGCTGCATGATGTGGGACTGTGGACCCATCCTGGTGCTCTGGATCCCCTGGTAGGTCATCATCTGCGACAGACTAGAGGTGGGAATGCCATTGTAGAGGGAGGTCATCATGCCATGCTGAGCCCCCTGGTGGAGGCCCACCTGAATGCCAGGACCTCCTCTCAGGGGATTGAACTGCCCCGGTTGGCTGTTGCCGTGCATCCTGGAGAGCCAGTCGCACTGACCGTTCATGTCGCCCTGGTCGCTGGAGCCCGACACGGGAGGTTGAGTGAGACGGGGTGGTAGCGGGTCGAACTGCATCCGTGCCAGTTCCTGCTTCTTGGGCATAACCATGTGGTTTACAGGAAGATGTGGGTCGGACATTCCCTGCAGATGGTTCAAGGATACGGAGGGCGACTGCTGGAAAGGTGAGCTCACATCGGAGACGTATCCGTGCGGAGACTCCAAAGAGTCGATGGGCGACAGGACAGCTGAACTGTCCAGGAGGTTCCCGGTCTTCCTGTCCTGGGAATTCTTCTTGATCTTCATGTCTTTACCATCCTTACAGCCGATGCCCTTGGCGCTAGGTTTCCGGGCCTTCTTGCTCTGGTTTTGCCCCTGTGGCTGCTTCATGTTGCTCAGGTAACCGTTGGGCGAACAGAGAGGGGGTGACAATGTGACGCTAAATGACCCCCCGTGCATGGGAGGACTTCGTACCAGGTTGTACTCGTCCATCAGTCGCACAATGTCGTGGTGCATTCTCTCCTGAGCGATGTCTCTGGGCAGTCGGTCAATGTGGTCCGTGATTTCCCTGTTGGCAAAGTGGTCCAGTAGAACCTTGGTGGTCTCATAGCTTCCTTCTCTGGCTGCTAAGAACAGAGGCGTTTCCTCCTGTGGCAGGGAGACAGGAGACAACAAGGTTGAGAGATTGTCGTCTGATAACTGGGCAGATCAGACGGGGGTAAACTACGGCCCATGGGCCAGATTTGGCCCACTAGGCTTTCTAATCCTGCCCTCCAAACCCTAGTACAAGGTCTGGCACAGACTGATGCATGAACCAGAAGGATTGACAACAAATCGACTGTCAGTTCACTAGATGGCGGCAGACATCAAATGAGCCATATTATCTTTGAAAGCTGAGGGTGTATTCTTGTACAATTTATTTAAATTATTTCACCCAGCATTCAACATCCAACCAATAATAAAGCGGCCTGCCAGTCAATTTTTGAACCTCATTTTGGACTGTGAGCCAAAACGTTAGCCCAACCCTGAGATAGACAATGTCAAAATGCATTGAAAATTTGATCAAAATCAATAAAAAAAATAAACATTATTTATGTGTTCTGTTAACAGCTCTAATTTTTTATTTACATTTTATTTTTATTTACATTGTTTTTCTATTTTATTTTCTACACTGTTTATATTTTGACTATTTTCTGTTGATTACATTCCACATTTTTTAGCTTGTTAAACATTTCTTACTGGAGTGTTAATATTTACAGTGCTTTTCTGCCCCGTTTATATTCAGTATTATGGTATTTTTTAATACATATTACATGTAGCTGCAGCCTACATGTATTATCATTGGGACACGTGTGTATTGTTATGAATACCTTGTTGTTCTGCATGTCCTTGTTGGCACCGTTCTTCAGCAGCACAATGGCAGCATCCACATTATTCACAGCTGCTGTCCAGTGTAATGCTGATTTACCTAAAAAAAATAAAAATAAAATCCAGCGTCAGTCCATCTGAACTTCAGCCTCATTGAAGTTCTATTAATAAATCAGAGTGACTTTACCAAAATCATCGACAGCATTGACATCAGCGTGGCAGTTGATGAGCTCTTCAACCATGCCCTCCACTGCCAGCCTGGCAGCCAAGATCAGGGGCGTGGTCCCATCGTGCATATGGGCGTCCAGGTCTGTGGCACGGTTTCTGATCAGAATCTATAGAAATATATGAAAAATATTTTTGTTAATTGTGTGCTTTTTGAAATTAAACCATAAAAAATAATCACTCAAAATTGTTTAAAAAATACATTAAGAAATAAGAAAATGATTTAAAAGAAATGACTGGCTTAAATTTAATCACAAAAAATGTGATTCATGTTTGCAGTTTTAGATAAAAAAATAATGTTTTTCTTCTGAGCAGATGAAGAACATGGTTCTGATAAAGTTTCTTCAAGCATAATTATGTTTCTTAATTTTTATTACTGGTTATCAACCAGCTAAAAAGTAAAAGAAATTACTGTTGAATGTTGGCAATAATTCTTATTTAATTTGGTATTGTTGATATTATATTCAATATACATATATACATATATAATATATGTAAGCAAGTATATATATTTATATGTATATATATATTTATATTTACATATATAAACATACATACATATATATTTATACATATATAATACACATATATATATATTATACACACAACCACATATATATGATATTATATGTGATTCATATTATATTTCAAGTTTTTAAAGTAATCTTTTCAGCCCTACTGTAAACTAAAGCTCCATCTCTGCCTCCATCTTGTTGATTTTATTTTAATAACAGCCTAAACACATCCAGCTCAGTGACACTTACCTGAAACACTCCCTGTGCGTCAGCAGCCACAGCGGCGTGCAACGGCGTCCGGCCCATGTTGTCCTGGATGTTAGCATCGGCACTCGCCTCCAGGAGGCGTTTGGCAGCGTCGGAGCGGGCATAGTGGGCGGCCAGGTGGAGAGCGGTTTCGCCCGTGCGGTCGGTCTGATTGTGCAGGTTGGCGCCCTGGTAAATGATGTCGTTGATCACGTTGGCGGACGCGTCCTCCTCTTCCTCGCTGTTGCCTGTCTCCAGACCTCCCCCGCTGCAGAAGGCGATCATCAGGGGAGTGTATCCATCTGGTGGAGGAGGGTCATGAGAGATAAAGGACTGCAGCGTCAGCACAACCAACAAACAGGAAAGGGGGGTGTGCACTTCAAAGCATCAAAGACATCAAACCAAAGCAACAAACAAATCGAATGTGGATTTAACACTTGACTCCCCAATCATCGCAGCACTTTTTTTTTTTTATAAAAAGCTGAGGGATCGAGGCTTGGGCTGGGTTGAAGCCCAAGCCATATCTAACTGTGAGAGGCAGAACTGTCAGTTGTCTTTTTCAAAAGAACAGCAAACCCCAGATGGTGGGGGGGGGGTAAAAACAAAAGCCATATCTAACTGTGAGAGGCAGAACTGTCAGTTGTCTTTTTCAAAAGAACAGCAAACCCCAGATCTCCAAGATTGGGCCGACTCAACTGCCCAGGCTCCCAGCAGTGAGAAGGGGCTCAGGAGTTCTTTAACGTGATACTTTGGGGTTTTTTATATTTCTTTTTTTTCTGAAACATTTTTATTTTGCATCTGATTCTATAATTTAGTTCTATATTAGAGAGTAAAAAAAAACAGAGGCCCATTAGTGGCCAAATGATTAATTTTGCCACTAACTGGAAGTCTCGGCGCCTGAGGGAAAATCATTCCCTCAGGCACCGAGGCTTCCAGTCGACTGCTTTGAAGAAGATCTTTCACCCTCAGGATACAGGGGCTTAAGCAACTCCTACGTGCGATTACACAAGCTCCAAGACAGAATGTGAATCAATCCGCACGCGCACACACACACACACACAAATAGGCATAAAGCAATCCTTTAAGCCTTTACCCTAACCGTATGTTTGAAATAAATGTCTATGTCAAATCTGAGCATTATTTCAATCTGAAATCCAAAACTGAATTTTCAAATTTCAAAACACCATCACACTCACTGTGGACCTGTCAAATGTCCCCATAACTACTGTTCTCCAAAAAATGACCCCATAAGGTAGCTTTCCCAGGTACAGACACACACAAACACATACTGGTTTGGTGTTACTGATGGTGTTTTTAAAAACAATTATTTACACTTTTTTTACACACATGCAAATAAATACAAACACACAGAGACGCATACCAGTTTATGTCTCTTTTTAAATAGCTTTTTTTTTACACTTTTCTTTTTTTACACAGAAAATAAAATTAAAGCCAAAAAAATTACACTTTTAAAAAGAAATTCATTTTATAAAGAACCAAAGCCAATGCACTGAAGTGTTTTACTTAGATGATCAAATCATCAAAAACAATTCAAATATATATATATATATACACATATACATATATACACATA